AAATTATAAATAAAATAATTGTTAATAAATATTTATTAAATATAAGTATTATAGTATTATAATTATATTTAATAAATATACATATATATTAGATAATACTTATGAAAGATAAGTTACATAATATGTGGATTTCATTAAAAAATTAAAAATTTCATATTTTTTATTAAATCAATATATAAAATCTAAATTACATAATAATATTGTTAAAAGTAATGTAAATCTATAAAAGACTTAAAAGATGAAGATATTCCTATAAAATATGACTTACGATAAAAAAAATAATAAATTTTTTATAATATAAAATATAAAATAGAAATTAAATAAAATTTCAATTATAATTGAAACAGGTAAATAATTAATAATAATGTTGACAAATTATTTCAATGCATTCAAAAATGAATCGATGACCTTAATGCCGCCATATTGGTACAGTAGAATTACCACTGTGGTAATCAAATAATATGGATTATATAATCAATTGAATATCTTCTTCTTAATATTTAGATGTCAATTAAATAAACAAAAACTACATTTTATAGAAATATAAAAAAGAATAATAAACTATATTAAGTAATAACATAACTAAATATTGAATATTGTCTATATAGAATATAATCTCACAAAGCACAGTGTTACGAAAAACAATGAAACTCAAAAAATATTTTCTATACTTACTATTTACTGATAATGCTCCCGAAATTTTGGTAATTTCATTTTGAAGGATAGAAGGTTTGACGGCCCTTAAGGCGCCAGCGGCAGCTTTCGATACAACATTCAACATCTTAACCGGCCAAGTGAAGAAGAGTGACCGGAATGGTCTTTAATTCGTATGGATAGTACTGTACTAGCAGCGTATGCGCATACACAAAATTCTATCATTGCGCATATATCTAGCGCAGCTTTATTATCAAATCGTTGTGCCCTTCTTTATGCCGCATTCTTAAAGAGAAATACTTTCTCTCTTTTTTAAAATACAATATGATTGGAGGAAAATATTCGTTTAATGAATACTTGATTTGTTATTATATAATTGCATATATACACGATTAGCAATTTGACTTGTTTTCTATGTAACTGTTTGTGCACGAGTTGTATCGTATAGCATGAATACTGTATATATATTGGATTTATGAGAAACCGGGTACATTAAATTTAGTATATTTTAATATAAATAAGTTATTAGAAAAATAAATACAAAATGGTTGAAGAACAACAAAAACGAGTCGATGAATATACTAGAAAAATAGTAGAAGAGATTGATAAATCAATGAGAAAAATGAAGGTGCTTTGAACTTGTAATATTTTCAGGTTATACTGTGAAACATGCGTATTTTCATAATTAAAAATCTCATTTTTAAATAAAATAATGGAATTAATAAACTATAAAAAACTATAAATTATATTTAATTTTAGGGTGATGCATATAGATGTGCTGCAAGTTGTTGTGATAATGAGACTTATAGTATAAAAAAAATTGAAAATTGTGTAAGAAATTGCAATAATTCTTTGGATCAAGCTCAAGAATATGCTAGAGAAGAACTAGAAAGAGTTCAAGTATGCTTTTTTTTTTCTTAATTAATAATCCTAAAATTAATAAAATTTAATAAATATCATTTTTTAGAATCGATTACAAAGGTGTGTTATGGATTGTAATGATAGAATAAAAGATGCAGCAGGACCTAATCCATCACAGCGTGATTTGGAGAAATACAGTGAACAATTTGACAAGTGTGTAACAAAATGTGTAGATCATTATTGTGAAATATTACCTAATTTAGAAAAAACAATGAAAAACGTTTTGTCTGAAAAAAAATATCAATAGTAATATAATAATAAATAATAAATATAAATAAAATTAATGAATTGCAATCTAGAGACAGTAAAATTATTCAATACTAAACTGCCAATATTTTATATATATTAAATATACATAAAATCATTTTATGTAGTTTTTTACCATGTGTAACATATTTTACATTATTAAGAGATTTATAATAAAATATTAACTTTTTGTGTTATTTTATTATAAATCCTTTAAAATACAGATAATATTGTACAAAAACAATTTTAACATGTACATTTTTATTGCATTTAAATGTTTGTGTAAATAATATTTTGTATACAAAAAGAATGTATACAAGAACAAAAAGACCAATAATTTTATGATTATTGTATTTATTAATTAATACACTTGATTGCAATGGTACATTTTTATTTCTCTTTTTATTTTTCTTTCTCTCATTCTCTTTCATTCTCTCTCCCTCTCCCTCCCATCCTTTCTATTTTGTTTAACATAATAACAAATTCACTGTTGCAATTAATATCATTTCTTTATTGTTACAATAGACATTACGCTTATTGCACACTTTTTCATGATATAAAACCTTTCCACCACTCTCGCTTGATACAAAATAATCGTTCAAAATATGTTGCATAAATTTTGATCTAAACTGTAGAAATTTGCGAATAAATCGTTTAAATAATAATAATTTAAATATAAATATTAACACAACATGTAATTCACTTGTTTCTTTACGTGTACAAGTTTCTATAAAACTAGCCCTATTAGGCTTAGTATCTTTTTCTTTCGTTTTCTCTTTCTGAAAGGATCATTGTAACGTTCAATTCTTGTCATAACTGCATAAGATTGAGGTGGCTCGGTGCACTTATTGCGCAATGTAAGTATGAGCGAAGTGCCCTTTGCAGTGAACAGCCTTTTGCTGATATGCAAATTCGAAACAATTCGACGAGAGTGATTACATTTCAAGTGACGAAATAACTTCTCGCGTTTTATTTTTTTCTTTTTTTCTTTTTTTTTTTTTTCCTTTTTTTTCAATACGCGTCTCAAATTCCTAAATGCGACTCATATATGTGTTGATTATGACTCAATATCGTCAAATGGAATGGCATGAGTTTTTGGAAAAATGTCAATTTCTCAGATATTTCTGAGGTATAAGTGAATGCTGTGGTATTATTTTGCACCTGGCGTCGCACGGATTGAGAAAAAAAGTCTATGTAACATTTTGTATCCCAATCAGTCAGACTCTTCGGACTAGATTTTTTTTTCTTTTAATAAGATTGAGATTACGCGCTTTTTTATCAAACGCTGTCACATGTGAATAACTGTAGGTACATCTGGTAGAAAAAGAATTGAAGGTACAAGGTGAATGTAAGTTATGGCGCTGTGGCAACAAATTTGGCCAGTGCGTTTCGCCTTATAAAAATTTAAATTCCAATTATCGCGCATTATTATGTTTTCTTCTTTTTTTTTTTTTTTTTTTCGTAGAAACTGAATTAAATTCGAAGATGGTACAAAACAAGACAAATACCTACATATTCTGTTTTAGATTTTGAGGTAATCAGATATCACAAAATACAAAGAACAATAATAATTTTATAGGAAGTTCCTGCGTTTTAACTACAAAATTTAATATTGGATAACATTTTTTTCAAGTAAAATTTACAACTTTCACGCAATAAACTTGATTTATATAAATAATAATTCAAAGGGCAAAATAGAAATCATGACTTGATTTATCGTCAATTAATTTTAACTTCTGATTAGGAGCAAAAATTACTTTTTAACAATATGGATATTTTTAAACATCTATCTTGATAAAGCCCAATGCGAAACATATAAGGGTACTGGTCAAGTTTGCCGGAACACCCATTCGAAAATTTCTAAATAGAACTGCGATTCTTGGTCCTATCCTAAGCTATCACCGATTGTAAATTAGTTTCTTCGATCTTCATTGCTTAATTAATATCGTGTTTAATTGTGCACCTGCAGAACGGAACATTCCAAGTATCCTATCAGCAGGTTCACTGTACTATATGCCTATGATCGCGGAGCAAAACAGTCGCTTTCGTAGCTGTGCAACTAATTTTTATGATCTTCAAAATTTTTTGTATGTCTCTTTATTTTTTGAAATAGATTTTACGTTTTCAGAAAAGTATAGTTGTTAATAATTTTGCACTGAATATTAATTATAGGCATTACGAATTCGCTGCGTTGCTTACCGTTATCATCATCGCAACTCGCCTAATATGGCTGACATAAAGCTTGACCCCGTCGTTACGAATTTTCCCTCTACTTACATGGATATTCAATTTGTACTTTGAAATTGAGTCAACTATTTGTTTCCTTCATGAGCTTTGATTGAATCTAGTTTCCACATAATTACTATGGAATTTGAACCAAAATTTGAATATTATTGTAATTAGAGATGTATTCTTACTCACGTATTCTTTTAAATGTCACACTGATCATTTTGAATATTATAGATATTTTTATTTAAGAGACAGAAAAAGATATTTATTAATAAATTTCACTATATGGCAACTATTTCAATTAAAGCACAGTTTAACCCGCTTAAATTGAAATTCGAACGCCGTGGACAAGCCTTTTTTCAATTAAATAATAACTTTGTTAGCCGATCTAGCTAATCTGTGTTTAAAAAAGAAACATCAAACAACTAGGAAGAAAGACTATTGATTTTAAAGAAGAGAGTGCGTACTTTTAGATAGAATAGGTAAGTATCTTCGAAGTCGTTGAATACGTGAGAATCTTCGATATATTTTATAATTTTAATTTTGTCGTTTGGCACTCGAGCCTCAAATATTATCGCTTATACTTTTAACCGCAAAACACGTCAAAATTATGTTGATTCTAACGATGTTAAAACCTTTTCAAGGTTTTTACCAACTCACTACCTTCACTAAAATTTTTATCAAAAAAGAATAATAAAAGTTTTCTACTACTAGTTGTTTACTAAATTCGAAGTACAAAGCGCAACAATTAGCCTCATAACTATGAATGACTCTCACGCATTCCTCGGGCTCCTATCACGTACATATTTTTTTTTTTTTCCTTTTTCTTTTTCTAAACGTTAGGGCTACTCAAGATGATTTTTTAAATGTTGGAGTATTAAAGACTCCAAAGGAAAAAAATATCGAAAAAAATATATAGTCATGTAGAAAGTAACAAAAATAATACGAGTAGCCCCTTTGTTCTTCGGTCTGTCTTGCAGAAAACCAAGTCGCGCTTAAAAAAGGCTTAGAACACACTTTGAATATCGATCCCTGTAGGCGAATGAGACAACTCGCATCCACTGGTGCACGTATTCACTCGTTAATTCTAAAAAGAAGAACAACACCGTGTTCCCTACTCTCGCTCGCGTCCAATATTCCTTTTATTTAAAAAAAAAAAAAAAAAAAAAAAAAAAAAAAAAAAAAAAAAAAAAAAAAA